GGTTAGTTTTTTCATTTAATTTGATATTTTTTTTGATAGATTCAATGTTTGGAATTATTAGAATCATGATATGAAATTAATGGTTAGTTTTTTCATTTAATTTGATATTTTTTGGTCAATAAGTAATTATTTTAATTTTATTTCTTTTATATTTAAAAAAAATATTTTTTAGTATACACTTTTTTTATGCAACTTCAGTATTAAAATTATAAAAATATTATTAATAAATAAAGTTAAAGTTAATTTTATTAACAGAAACCCATATAGATTTTTTTTCCCCCTTTATATTCAACATAAACGTAAGAAATCTGTTTTTTTTTTTAATGTTTTGAGAGTTCTTCACAGAATTCCTAATTCCAATTTTGTCCCACATCATGCCTCTTACCAGGATTCTCTTGTACCAAAAACTGAAGAAAAAAGAGAGTGAAAATTAAACAAATGGCCTCAACACAAACATCCTTTTATATATATATTTAAAGTAGAGCAACTTTTCAATTTTATGCAACATATGTTTATTTCTATTTTTTAGATGTTGAATTTTCATGAAAGAGGAGAGTTGTAGATTTAGCTCAAATTTTAACAGAATTCAGCCTCTACCAACACAATGACACAGGCATCGGTCGATTGCATTATGAAAAAGAAAGAAAATACAATCAATTAGAAGGAATATATCAGTTTAGAACAGTAAGAAGGTCGGAAAACAGGAATAGATTGCATTTGCAACAGCCATGCTTTAGAGACAAATATTAACAAATTGGAAGAATTTTTCTTTCTTTTTTTTCTAAAAAAATGATCGATAATATTTCTCTTCAGGATGCCACCATTGTGAATTGTGAGAAGGAAGGGGCAGAAAATACAGAGTATGTCCAATACGACCTTTCACAGAAACTTGAAATTTCACTCTGATGAAGCCCCATTAACGCGTGAGAGGATTGCATTTTGGATTAAAATGGGAAGTGGGATATAAACCAGGGTAGAGAAGTAATAATTCTTTATCAACAGAATAGTCACCCCTTCCTCTTCTCTGTACCAATTGTAAGTTGCTCAAAGCTTTGAGTAGGATCATCACGGAGACCTCTTGATGTTGTAGCTTTGGAGAGGTTTGATCTCTGCTCAGACCCAGAATGGAGTCTCTGGCTTGTGGAAAGGCGACTACTGCTGCCAGAGAGAAGCCAGCTTGATCGATCACTAGGCCCAACAGAAGAGGCAGGCCTGCTGCTTGAACCAGCGACCACCCTCTTGGACATGCTGCTACTGCTAGGCCGACTGGAGCTGCGGCCTCTACCAGAATCATTTTCCTGCAAAATTTAAGAGAAGTTCACAACAGGATTGGATATAGGACAAATTTCAGAGCCCTAGGTCTGACATCTTAAAACTTTTAACATCACCTTGCATACCATGCATAGATGTTTATGTGAATATTTACAGCCTGTATGGCAAGTGATAACAGAATATGGAAGCTTCTCCATCTTATGTGTTTTATAGTGAGATACACATTTCCCTCATATTATGATCAAATTAAATGTTTAGTTTCCATTTCAATTTTCACTAAAGGTCATGGGTGATATGGACTGAGGAAGGGATGTTAACTTTTTCCAGCACTCCATATAAGAGAAACAGATCCGCACACATAAGAGGGAAAAGAAATATTAATTAAGAGAATAAATGAATGCATCAAAACAGTGATCACCTACCATATCCTTTGAAGAGAACATCTTCTCTAGTGTCTTGTGCCTTGAATGATCACCATGCTGTCCACTGCCTGAAGCAGTTTTTCTAGTAATAACTTCAACGGCACCTGAGAATCTATCACGAATTTCTCGTCCCACTATTTGAAACATGCACAGCAAAATAGAAGGAAAAAAAATGAAATTCAAAGAAATTAAAAGGGAAAATACTTTTGCGTTCACTATTAACAACCACAAACTGACAAAGTGGGAAACAATTAACCACCCAGGAAAAATAAACCATGATTAGCAACCACAGCTTCAAGTTTTAGAATCACAAATTCTATTTGGGAGCAACAGCAATGGCCAAGGAAAATGAGAGCGAAGTATTTCAAGTATAATAAAATGTCACAAATATTTCAACAGCTAGTATTGTTAGCCCTATATGTACATTCCTTTGTGGAGAAGTGAAGAGAGCACACCTGAAGGCCTTTCTGGTCTTTCAGCAGAGGGTCCAGCACTTACACCAGCTCTCCCACTAGGCGTCTGAATAAATGCAATAAATACAATAAGAAACCTCATAATATAAGAAACACATATCTGTATTCACCAAGCACTAACCCGTTGTCTTGAACTGGAACTGAGCTGGGGATATTTGAGTATAGTCCAGTCAAATACATAGTCAAACTGATATCCTGCCAAAAAACCACAATCAAAACTCTGATCTCTCTACTTGTGTTCCTGAACAAGTTTGCATTACAATAAACAATATACAAGTCTTCTAGATAAAAAGTCAACAAGAAGAACTACTCTGCAACAAAGAAATGGAATCAAAATGATGCAGGACCAAAAATATCTTTAGTTATTTATCTTCAGGTTTGTTTTATTTTTAGGTTTTATGTTAGATCCTAGTTTCAACTTTCAATTATCACTCGTGTTGAATTTTTTTATATTAAAAGGTCATGTGCCTAGCATGTGACTCTTAATGAATCCAAAATTAGAAGGGTTTAAGGACTCATCAGTGCTGTGACCAGAGTACAAATAGTCAATCAAGATCTGTTAGATATTGCATTCTATATTTTTTACAATGAATGAGAGATTTGAAAACCCTAAATTCTTGTTGTTCCAACATTAGTTCTACAATGAATTTTAGCTTCTGTTAGTTGTTTTTCCATCCTGTTTGGCTGTTCACATTTTGCTGCTGAATCACAAAAGAAAAATGTTTACAGAGTTGGAAATCATCACTTTTTCTTTAAAAGAGGTATAGGGTGATATTGCTATAAAGTAGCAAGGTAGAACAGCTGAACAAAGTTAATTGGGGTTGTTAATAACTGAAAGAAACCAGAAAGATGGGTCATCAATTTTGCACACTGTAACCCCACTTCCTTCAAAATTCAAACCTCTCATACTCAAGTAGAATAAAGTGTTCATGTCAATTCAGAACTCAGTTTCATGAAGAATACAAGCATTTTTCAACCATTTGTTTCCAACATTGACTGAGATAAGAAAGCAGCTCAGAATGACTGCAATCACTTGCGCTTACCTTCTCGAATAAATAAGTCACGGAAAAGCCTTTTCAAATATGAATAATCTGGCTTGTCTTCAAAGCGTAAAGATCGACAATAATGGAAGTATGATACAAACTCTGATGGGTATGACTTGCAGAGCACCTACAAGGAGAATTTTTGTGTTTTAATAATTATTTTAAACAAAAGAATCAAAGGTGTCCAAGATACCAGGTGCAAAATAATTATTTTAGCATACACATTAAGTAAAGGTATCCAAGATGAAAAAAAAAAGGGTTGAAAATCAGGATACCTCAACAGGAGTTAGCATTTTCTTTTCACTGATTTTGTCATATTTCTGCTTTTTGGTCCCTGCTTTTAGGCCCTGCCAAGGAAGGCTGATGCAAGAAATAAAAAACTTAAGAGAAAAATATAAATATTATGTTGATATTATAATATTTAAAGATAATAAAAAAGAATGACATATTACTTATATTGTTACAACCTTCCCCGTATGAAATACATAAGCACATAACCAAGCGATTCCAAATCATCTCTGCGGCTTTGTTCTGCAAAAGAAGCATGAAACAATAACAATTAGGCTGGCACATGTTGTAAAAAGAAAAAAATTGTGATGTAGCGACCATAAAAACCTAATATGGCTCTTTACTTACCAACTCCAAGGTGAGTGTTGACACTGGCGTATCGAGCAGTGCCAGTAAGATTCTTGTTCTCCCTGTAAAGTTATCAAATTCAAAATAGTTGAAGCACTTGCTGGAAGAGAAAAGCAGTTCAATAGATCATCGAAAAGGGAGACAGAAATAACCTCTAAGGTTAACATTTGGTATTTTCCATTTGTACAACTTTTTTTTTTTTTGTTAATATAGATTGTAACACTTAGGGAAACAAGTAACATATATGACATATGGAGTTAAAATATAAACAATAGTTTCTGAAGGAAACCCATTCTAATTATCCAACTTAAGTAAAAAGCAAAGAGCAGATAAATACCTATATGGTATATGTTTATGAGTTTGAAGATCCCTAAACTTTTTCGCAAGGCCATAATCGATGATGTACACCTGTTACACAACAATCACAGGTCAACAGCAATGTCATATATATTTTTTTTTATTTCTTTTTGGTAAGAAAAGGACATTTTCTTTAATAAAATTCTTAAGTTACTGCATGAGTCCTTAGAATCAGAGGCCCAATAAAATCTGTAAATAACAAAAAGGTTCATAACAGGAGATCCAAAAAAGCAAGAGCAGCCCCATTCAGTTAAATGCAAATTCTGGCTAAGTAATCCAAGCATCCAATCTCGGTAATGCCACTTTACTAATAAAGCCAAGAAAATTATTAAACATTGTTGGTCAATTCCACTTTACATTCAGAAAGCACCCATCCATGGTTTGAACATAATATTAATCATCAAAATATGTAGCATATTATGGTATAAATACAAATGCTGAACAAAAATTAGAAGTGTTGCTCATATTATAGTTCAAGCATTTTACTTTGAAGATGGTGGTTTAGGTGCATAAAAATTTTAAACTATCAAAAGAGAAAATCAATTCAATGATGAAATTAACAAAGTCTCCTAAAAAAAATCTTAGACATGTATCTTCAGCCCCTCACCATTTTTTGATCAGCTGAAACTCTATCTTTATTAGCGAGAACAAAGATTTTCATTTTAATGTTTTCATGTTTCTTTACTATCAATGGCTACTAAAATTAGGAATGCCTGAAAAACAGCACATGCTGCTTGCTGATAAAAAATGAAGGCATTCTGCAAATGAACATACCTGATTTGCTTTGCGTCCCAAACCCATTAAAAAGTTGTCAGGTTTTATATCACGATGAAGAAAACCCCTTGAGTGCATGTATTCCACTCTGTTGATCTAAATGGTAACAGAAATGGAAGAAATCATTAGTGTTGAATAAGCTACATAGCCATCCAAAGAAAAAGGAAAATGCAGCAAGAGAAGTGTACATACCAACTGATCTGCAAGCATTAGCACCGTTTTCAAAGAGAGCTTTCGATTGCAGTAATTGAACAAATCCTCAAGGCTTGGGCCTAAAAGCTCAATAACCATAATGTTGTAATCACCCTCAACACCAAACCACTTAAGGTGGGGAACCCCGGCTTCATCAAAAACAACAAAGCAAACAGAAAATCAACTTTAACACAAAAATTGCATGTCCAAATGTTCAGCCTGTTCACTTTTACTAAGCTTAATTTGCAGGCAAAAATTAACAAAGCAAAATAACAAAATCTTACTTCCTCCTTGAAGAAGCATGTATAACTTTGATTCATAGTGAAGTTGAGGATGCTTGGTCTTCACAGGTTCCTGAACATGTAAAAAACAAGAAGTTAGGTGAGGTCCCAGAGAAAAATTGAAGAAGGGGGCATTAGAGTAGTAGCTGCATCATAAAGTCTTCATCAAAATTCTCAAAAAATGTGCTTTTCATTTTTACTATTGATCACCACTGCACCGGACAATTCAAAGTGAATATGCTAGATCTGGGTTGTTACCATACCCTTGTTAAAAATAATTTCTCTAGTTGCTGTTCTGAAAACTTGAAGAATTTCTTTTCAACACTTCAGGAAGAGGACACTAATACAAGTTGGAACAATCAGAATATGTGAAGTCCTAAGAAACCACCTTTTTCATTAACCAATTATTTTTTATCAGCATGTAACACGTCTCATAACTTATAGCTCGGTCTCCATTCAATCAAATACAAGCCAATTAAACATCAGTCATAATTAAATAAGCTCATTGCTAAACAGTCTTGTTTAGTTAATAGGAAAATGATTTGTGCATTTACAACTAAAGCATAAGGTGAATAAAATAACTAACACATTCTCACATGCGCCTTGGCCTAGTGGTTACGGTGGAGGTCGTGGAGGTCCTGGTACCCTTAAGGTCCCAAGTTCCAGTAGCACTGCATTGTGCAATAGGTTATTCTCAAACTTTATGTTGGTTTGTTATAGTTTGTAATTTCATTTGAATTGATTGTATTGTGATGTGTTAAATGCTGATTGATTGATATTATATGTATGCACTGAGTCTTGTACCCATTAAAAACACACACAGAGCAGCAACTGATTCATTTCCATGTTATTGGGTATTTAATAACAAACTTGACACCGCCCCGGACTTGGATCAACAAAATCTAAATCCCCAAATCAGATGGAATTAAGGACAGAAGATAGCACTAATTCCACAGTTTTCTCAAAAAAGAACAAACACAAGAAATTATCATCTAACCAAACATAAGATAAAATGCAATTCATGCAATGGAGTAACCGAAAGCATCATACCAGCTTTATAGCAACTTCCTCTCCTGTCTGAATGTTTACCCCTAATTCAATCGAACACAAAGATAATTAAAACCCAAAAGCTAAAATTGATGCAAAAATAAAAATAAAATAAAATAAACAAATTGGGAAATGAATTACCAAGAAAGAGTTCCCCGAAAGATCCAGCCCCGATCTTTCGACCCATTTTGAATTTTCCGCCGACAACACCATCCATGATCGAATTTTGCATCGGCAAGCGATTATTCAGATCAAGAAAGGATATTTAGATTAAAAAGAGAATAATTTCGAGGAAAATGAAACCCGGAGGAAATCTTTTGTGGAAACCATGATCACGCAAGAAAGGAAGCAAAATATTTCCAAGTCAGATGATGATAGCCTCAAAATCTGAGCAGAATTTCGGGATCGAGAAACTGCATTCTGAAAAAATTATTAATAATAATAATGAAATTTGTGAAAAAAATGAAAAAAATTCTAAAAAAATTGTACAAAAATGATGAATAAAATCAGAAAATTATGAATCAAATGATGGAGAAAGAATTATCAAATGGGAAGATAGAAGGGAGGGCGGGAAATCGGAGAGATGGAAGGAGGATGGAAATGGAAAGAAAAGGAAGAAAAAAGGATTTGCGGAATTTCCGATTTCTGTTGTCTTTTTTTTTTTTCTTTTTTTTTTGTTCCTTTTTCGAAAATGTCTACTTCTTAAAACAACGAAAACATTCTCATCTTGCATTTTTTTTTCTCGCCCCAAAGAAGGTAGTGTGGCTCCACCCGCACGCGCGTCTAAACCTCGCAGCCTGCACTCAAAGAAAATAGATAAATTACTTGTAAGCACTTTGGTTTTTGTTGGGGGAACGTTTGAATAAATTTGGCAAAATTGCACACGACTTAATTCACTTGTAATACCGTAAATGTTGTAAATTAGTGGTAAAATTATTTATGTTTTAATTATAAATTTAAAATTTAATTCTAATTTTATGTATGAAAAAATTCACTTGTAATAAGTTGGGTTTTGAATCCGAAAAATTTGATCAAAATTTAATATGATTTAAATTAAAATTATTCAAGTTAATTGAGTTAGGTTAGTCGTCTTATAATATAAGTGACCTAATTAAAATTAATTTATTTTTTAAAATTTAAAATAAAATATTGATTAAATAAATGTACTTTTTAATTATAATGTTTAAATAAAATAAAATTTAAAATTTAAAATAATTATAATTTAT